TGGCGTGGCGTGTTGGGGCGAGGCGGGGCGGGGTGAGGCGGGGCGAATCATCGCGCGGGTGATAGCGCGGCGAGAGCATAGCCCCGGAGCAGCCGCGTCATCCTGTCGGAGCGATGATCGCCGCGACCCACGCCACGACGCCACAGGGACCCCGCCGCGAGCTGTCGGTGAACCCCCACATTAGTCGTGCGTGAGGCGAGAGCGCGTCGTGCAATCCACCTTGCCTCGATTTGCTCCGACCGAGCGAACAGCTGCGACTCGACTAATCGAACGGAAAGGTCATTGGCGCCTCGCGGGAACGCAGCGCGGGCTCGGCTGCTGCCGTGTTTCCCTCGTACACTGCTATGGAAACGCAACAGTGTGTGAATGTCGCACGCGTGAAGGTGCGTCAATTCCAATTCGCACACTTGTTCACGTCAAAGTGTGAATTTTCTGCGTAATTCCAGATGTAAATGCACGGTCCCTCAAGTGTGTAACGTACCCACACTTGGGTTTCCTCCTGTGTACCACTGGCGAAACTTTGGCCTGACAAAACATAAACGGACAATTTTATTACGATGACGAAAGTAGGCGTGTCCTGAGTTCACGCCCGCCTCTTTTTTCCGTGTTCACATCGCAACAAGCAACAACTTAACTACCCCCTTCTTGCCTTCGCTTGTCCGCGCGCGGGAGAAAGCCTCCTCCTCCCTCTCGTCCTCCTCCCTCGAGGTCGTCGTGTACTACAGCGAGAGAGAGATGTTGTCTGTCTAACTTGTTTGATTCTTCACAGCAGCAGCAGCAGCTAGAGCAGACGCCTGCTTGTCTCTTTCAGAGTCCCCCGGGCGGCGCGGCGCGGCGAGGGTCGGGGAAACGCTCCGCCACTCCGCGTTAGGGCTGGTAGTGGCGGGGGCGGGGCGAGGCAGCGTATAGTTCGTGGCGATAGCAACGTGAGTGTGTGTGAGTGTGTCAGTGTGTGAGCGCGCGAGGGAGTGCCAAAACTTCGCCGCGTCGCGCGCGCGGGGTCGCGAGCCGCCCGCGGGGGGGCCGCGGAGACCCGGCCAGTCTATCGCGCGGGAGGAGGGCGGTGCATCTCATTATAATCGCGAAAGCATTGAAAGCGTTGGCGGCGAAGGCGGCGGTGAACGAACGGGGTGGAGGAAGGAGGAGGAGGCATTCAATGAGCGGGCGCCACGCCCCGCCCCGCCACGCCCCGCCACACCCCGCCACACCCCGCCACGCCCCGGCACGCCACGCCACAAGCTGGCGCGAAGCCGCCTCGCGGCACCTGGAGCGCCGCCTGCTGCTGCTGCTTTGCTATGGGCGCGTCTCTTGCTTCCTCTTGCCTTTCGTAGGTGAAAATTGTGCAGCGGCAGAAAGGGCATGCACGGCCCAGGCGCCGCCGCGCCTTCAGCCTCTCCCTGGCACCGCCGGCTGGGTCCTATCGCCCGTGCATATGCCCCGCGCCCCGCCCCACCGCGCCATGCAATATTGAATGGCGCGCTGCACTGCGCTTTGGCTTTCACTGCTGTGTCGAATGTGTGTGTGTGTGCCTATATATGCGCCATGGGCTGGCCTGGCCTTTATGCGTGTGCACCGTAATGTTCCTAATACTTTAATTAATATCATATTAAGACTACAAAACCGAAACGGCTTTCTATGAGGTTTC